CAGTCTTCATGCTTTTGCCGGTGGGTTGAGCCCATCTACTCTCCATTTTATTGTTGTTGTCAAAGGCAATCATGTTTAAGCTCTCATTGATGGAGGAAGCACTCACAATTTTATGGATCCCCGAACCGCTAAAGCTCAAACTACTAGTGGATCCAGCTTTGGCATTTTCTGTTCTAGTAGGAAATGGACAGACCTTAAGCTGCCTAGGTGTGATTCATGAGGTTCAATTATGATTCAGGGGTATTTATTTTCTACCACTTTTTTCGGTGTTGATTTATATGGCTCAGATTTGATATTGGGAGTGTACTAGTTGGCCACCTTGGGTCCTAGTCTTACAGACTATGTCAACCGTTTTTTTAAATTCACAATTTCTGGCAGATGCATTCGTTGGATAGGTGACCCTATTTCTTCTCCTACTCAAATCAATGTTTCCACCCTTCGTCATTTTTCGCAAACTGATTCAATTTCATACACTTTGCGTCTCAACCTTCACTTCCCCAATCCCACCAACCAATTGGATTACCCCCTGATTTATCTTCCCTTCTTGAGTCATACACTAATGTTTTTCAACCTCCAACTTCACTTCCCACATCCCGAGGTCAAGACCATCACATCCCATTATCACTGGGAGCTAGTCCCATCAATGTACACCCATATCGGTACCCCCACTTTCAAAAATCCTAAATTGAGCGCCAAGTCTCCGAAATGCTACAAAGCGGTGTCATTCGCCCTAGCTCGAGTCTGTATTCATCCCTTGTTCTTTTGGTTCAAAAGAAAGGTTGGACATGGCATTTTAGTGTAGACTATCGGGCTTTAAATTAGATCACCGTGAAAGATAGATTTCCTATCCCAACTGTGGATGAACTGTTTGATGAGCTTCATAATGCCCGCTTCTTTTCCAAGTTGGATCTTTTGGCCGGATATCATCAAATTCAGATTCACCCCCGAGATATTGAAAAAATGACATTTTGAACTCACGAGGGCCATTATGAGTTTACTGTCATGTCGTTTGGGCTTTCAAATGCCCCCTCTACTTTTCAGGCAACCATGAACTCCATTTTCAATCCGTTCCTTCGGTAGTTTGTACTAGTTTTTTTTTTACGACATTTTTTTATATAGTCAGTCATGGGATGCTCATTTATCTCACCTTCACTATGTCTTTGACACCTTGCGTTGAAATGCACTAGTTGTCAAGCGTTCGAAGTGTCAATTTAGACAATCTTCAATTGCTTACTTGGGACATATTTTGTCTTCGGTGGGTCTTCAGGTTGATCCAGAAAAAATATCTACAATTCTTTCCTGGCCGATACCTTCTTCAGTTAAGGATGTACGAGGATTTTTGGGATTGACTGGCTACTACCACCGTTTTGTCAAAGGGTATGCCCAATTAGCCTCCTCTCTCAACGACCTTTTGAAGAAGGATTCCTTCTTATGATCCGATGTTGCATTAACTTCCTTCAACAAGCTCAAGAAGGTCCTGAGTTTAGTTATCGTCCTCTCTCTTCCTGATTTCTTCAAGATATTAACAGTTGAAGCAGATGCCTCGGGGACAGGTATTGGTGCAGTGCTCTCACAGGAGGGGCATCCTATTGCTTTCTTCAGTCAAAAGCTCTCTTCAAGGATGCAAGTTACTTCTACTTACAATAGGGAAATGTTTGCCATAACACATGTTGTGCAAAAATGGCGGCAGTATTTGCTGGGACGTCGATTCATCATTATCACTGATCAGCAACCTCAGAAATCATTTACTAGTCAAGTGATTCAAACTCCGGAGCAGCAACGTTGGTTAAGTAAACTCATTGGATATGATTTTGACATCCACTACCGTCTGGAAAAACTAAATTCTGCTGCAGATGCTTTGTCTCGCATGCCTGCCCTTCTTGCATTATCCTTAGCCGTTTCTGGACTAGCCCTGATCGATCAGCTACGAGCCTTCAACAAAACTGATGCTGGCATGTTGTCCTTACAGCAACAATCGGCAGAAGACCCGGCCTCGCTACCTTATTTTGCTTTTCAAGATGGCCTTCTATTGTTTCGCAATCGACTGGTGGTTCCCAAAAATGACCACTTGCGTTCTTTGTTGTTGAAGGAGTTCCATTCTTCGAAAATGGGTGGTCACGCTCGAATTTCCCGCACATTTCATCGTTTTTCCTCTATTTGTTTCTGGGATAACATGCGGGCTGATGTCCAGAAATTTGTCAGTGAATGTCAAACTTGTCAACAAATGAAAGACTCGACGTTAAAGTCTGCTCGATTATTGTCTCCCTTACCAATACCAGATGTCATTTTTAGGATATTTTGATGGATTTTATAACTGGTCTTCCATCCTCTCAAGGGCGTACTGTTATTTTGGTTATCGTGGATCGTCTCTCCAAATATGGCCATTTTGTGGGTCTGCTTTCCCATTTCACCAGTCAAAAGGTTACCGAAGTGTTTGTCCATGAATTTATTCGTCTACATGGCTTTCCAGTTACAATTGTGTCGAATCGAGACCCTCTCTTCCTCTCTGAATTTGGGAATGAGCTTCACAGGCTGCAAGGGGCTCAATTAGCTATGAGTTCAGCATACCATCCTCCGTCGAATGGTCAAACGGAGGCTCTTAATAAGTGCCTCGAAATGTATCTTTGTTGCTTTGCCTCAGACGCTTCATCTACTTGGTTTTCATTGTTGCCATGGGATGAATTTTGGTATAACACCTCATACCAGCATAGTTCTAAACTTACTCCATTTGAGGTGGTGTATGGTTGACCTCCACCAACTATTTCGAGGTATGTCCGAGATAGTTCGACCAATCCTGTTGTGGCTGCCTCTCTGCTACAACAAAATGAAGTATTGGCTACCTTGAAGGCTAATTTACTTCGGGCCCAATAACGTATGAAACACAACGCAGATAAGGGACGCCGAGAAGTGGTTTTTGATATAGGGGATTGGGTGTACGTCCGTCTTCGTCCATACCGTCAACTTTCAGTTCGCCTCCAACGCCATACTAAACTCAGCAGACGCTTCTTTGGACCCTTCCAAGTTGTGCAGAAGATAGGTCTTGTAGCCTATAAATTAGCATTGCCTCCTTCATCCAAAATTCACCATATGTTTCACGTTTCGGTCCTACGCAAGTGCTTAGGCAATCCCTCTAACCAGATCACTCTAATTGATCTTTTGGACCAATCATCTTCCCTGGTTCTTCTACCAGAAGATGTGTTACATTGCAGAACCATTTCTCGTAGTGGCCAACAAATCCATCAATGTCTTATTAAATGGTCAGGTCTTCCAGTTTCAGATGCTACATAGGAAGACACTAACAATCTCCTTCACAAGTTTCCCAATCAGAACCTTGAGGACAAGGTTCGTCTCCACGGGGGTGGCAGTGTAACAACTTAGCAGGACACACCACAAGGGTCCTAGGCGCAGCAACAGAGAGAAAGGCCCACCTAAATACCTCGACCACTATGTGGTCCCAGATCCCAAGAGAATCATTCTTTGCCAAACCGTTAGAGAAAATGACAAGGGACAACCCTGCACTGAATGATATAAATAGGAGAGGAATCAGCTCAAAAAGACCATGGTTAAAGTTGCTTATCTTTTTGTTTCATAGAATTATAGATCTGGAACCTCCCTTTTCTCAAATTTTCCTTTCTTTTTGCCTTTAGAATTTCCAGAAAGTAGAGGAACAAACCCCTCTTTTGTGGTCTGTAAATCCCTTCAACCTTAATATAGTTTCTATCGTTATATAGATGCTATACTTTATGAAAAGGATACTATCTCTTATATAGACGTTAAATCTTTCTTGAAATCAAAAAAAACAAGTAATCCAATCAACCCTCTTATGGCCACCTCGATCAAAAGATGGAAAAATTATACAAGTGTTGAAGTTTGCAAACGCAAGGTAAAGTGCAAACATGCCAAAATCAAGCTTGATCTTGCATATGTCCATCAATTGGAATTGCAGGAATTCTATTGCCTGGCAAATAGTCAAGTTCCCCGGTTATCGATCGTTTTTTTTTTTTGTTGCTTTTTTCTGAAAATGGTGAAGGAAGAAAACGAAAGAGAAGAAGATTGATATTTCCATTCTTTAGAGTGATATTGAATTGTATTGAATAATGACTTTTGAATAAATAATTGGTCGTGTTATATCGCGTTTTGTAGATAATTTAATACAGAAAAAGGGCACCAAATTGCCTCATATCAATACCTTTCTCGAGAAAATGGAGGGAAAAAAAAGGAAAAAACTCACAATGGCTACATTTTTGTTGAACCTTGATTTATTCTCTTAAAAACCTATTAAACAATTATCTTGAATGATGATGAATACTACAGAAAAGTAAAATTTATTCTCTTAAAAACCTATTAAACAATTATCTTGAATGATGATGAATACTACAGAAAAGTAAAATTTATTCTCTTAAAAACCTATTAAACAATTATCTTGAATGATGATGAATACTACAGAAAAGTAAAATTTATTCTCTTAAAAACCTATTAAACAATTATCTTGAATGATGATGAATACTACAGAAAAGTAAAATTTATTTATTGGGTAAAACAAATTAAAGAACCGATACTTAAACCAGGCAAATATCACAAACACTGCATTGAACAAAGAATGAAAAGAATAGATGTCTTGTATTAATCAGTTCTTGTGTTCTACATTTACATATATTAAAAAAAATCTGATATCTTCTTCTTGGAAGGACTAATACAAATCCCAAGAAGAAGAAAAATTGAAATTGTAATGAGCAGTGGCGAAGCCACGTGGCCACAAAGGTGGTCAACTGACCACCCTTCGTCAAAAAATTGCACTGTGTACATAGGTAAAATATTACATTTTAGAGATATATAACACATATTGAACACCCTTTGTCGGAAATTTTTTTCACTTCTTTTAAATTTGAACACCCTTAGAGAAATTCTTAGCTTCGCCACTGGTAATGAGATCTCAAAAGTAGAGCCAGAACAAACAATAACTTGACAGTTGATTCTGGACCGTTATTGGATAAACATTCTCAAAAAATATGTAATCCAGCTAAAATCGCTTTAGTTAACTCAATCAAATGAAACAAGACCACAGCAGTTGAAGTTGGTACACTTAATCCAATAAGTGCAGCAATGCCCAAAACCAAGCTTGGTCTTGTATCCATCAATTGGGATTGCAAAAATCCCATTGCTTGGCAAATATTCGAGTCGTAATTCGTGTAGAGACTTTTTTCCCAGTTCATCCATTTAGTTGGAGGTTCATAATTTCTCTCGATCATCTTCATCTCGTGAATTCTCTTACGTAAAATAATTAAGTTATCATCTACAATACGACCGTTGTAGTAGTTTCGATCCCGGGCTTCTCTACCCATTGCCAACGTAGTCGTGCTCGAAGCGCGTGATGATGATGCTGATGTTGATGATGATCTTCTTTTTGGTGAAAATGGTGAAGAAAGAAATGGAGAAGAGAACAGAAAAGAAGTTGATGTAGTTGCCATTTTTAGAGTGATTTTGAGTTGTATAATAAGTATTGAAATAATGTGGTTTTGAGTTATGAACCATAGGGTATTATATATAGATGCTAGGGACATATGATTAATAGTGTTATTATTATGCAAAACCGTGTTATAACTGTCAGCATCAAAGTTCAGTTGACTCTACCCTTTGGATATATGGCTTGACTTTTGTGGCCTGTCTAAGGGCAAGACGGTTCTTTAATTAATTTAAGTTCTTTGTATCTTGCCATTGTTGCTTTCTTTTATTCATGTAGGGTTGGACGTTTTAATATAAAATATCCATTAAGTAATAAAATTAAAGAGCAATTAATAATTTAATTGGAAAAATGAAATCGGAAAGTAGTTGGAAATACAGATCATAAGGTTGTTTCCCAGGAACTAGGGCTGGAATTTTCCATACAAGGCTCCAGAAATCCTATGTATTACTATTTCTTTTCATTTGCTGACGTCAAATTGAGTTGGAAGCACACAAAAAAAAATTAAAAAAAAAGAATAAAAAAGATTACTAATATATTTGGGAGGATATCATAAAGAATTCGTAAATAAATTAATATCGTAAAATCAGACATGCTAAAGTCAAGAATGATAATCATCTAAAGTCAGACAATTAAAGTTGTAGTCTAATGGTTGCAACTTCATTATACATTACTTAGGTATGAGATTAGAATTACAGTTTAACGGTTAAAATCAGAGGCAGAGCCAGGATTTTAAACTTATGGGTTTTAGATTCTAAATCTTTTAAGTTACTGGATTCTAAATTAATAATTTATACATATTCAATAAATTTCTTAAGACAAATATATGATTTGAACGAAAGCTACTAGTTCAACCGAACTCGTAAGTTATACTCTCTCTCTGCCCCTGGTTACAACGTTAGCCATACATGTTGAGGTATGAACTCTCTTCTTTGGTCTTCTGCTCTATTTCAATTTACTAAGTTTTAGTGTACGTGTGTTGCACGTGTTTATATTTAGGTAAACCGATATGTATTTCAGTAATCTTCGTAGGCCGTCAGCCAGACACTCCCAATTTAATTCCTTTTTTTTGAGTCCTATATTTCTTCTCATCTCAAAGATTTTCATTTACCTCTAACTTATGCACCACATGAGAAAGTAGGAACACTCTAAAAGAACTCATTCCATAATCCCTTCCTAAATAATTATATTTATGGATTACATAATTATATATATAGATCAAAGTAAAAATATAACATTTCAAAATTTAACATGTAAATAAAAAATTTTAAAAAAAAAAGAAAAGGGAAAAAGGATACTATGTTTTTGTTTGACAGAGTTTCCGAAAAATTACCCATAACAAAAGTAGTTAAGAGTTTCCTTTTAATTTATTGTCCTTTTCTATTTATGTATAGGAAAAATTAGAATTTAAAATAATTTGATTCCTCCTTGAAATATATATTTTCTTTTAATTAACTTAAGATTTTAGGAATTGAAGACATTTTAGTTCCTTCTCTAAAACGTACTTTTCTCATTTATTTATGGTAGGGATTTTAGAAATGTGTTTTCCACTTTTCTAAATCAAGGTGCTAAATAGGAAAGTAATTAAATGAGTATTTTTAAATATTAAGAAAGTAAATTGAATGATTAATACTATATATAGGAAGACAATGAAATGATTATTTTGTCCAGTGTGAACTCTATTTTAAAAGGGTAAAAAAGACGAACGATATTTCGTTAAGGGCATTCGTGCTTTTAATATAATATATAGATATGATATATTTAGCTTATGGAGATTCAAATTGTGCGAAATTTGATCAACGTTTTAAATATTTTTTTATCCTATTGACTTGAAAAGAATTACAACTCATAATAATTTTCATATAATTTAGTATCATATCGTATAGCAAGGGTTTCCCATCATTTAAAAGACCACGGACAGTTGCAATATAATGGAAATGTCAACCAAAAAGAAATAGTATATATTTGGTTGGACCTTGTTTTTTATTTCTGTTTTTGTTTTGTTTTAATAAATTAAAAAAATTCTAGTTGACCTTGGAATCCTGCAATCATTATATCAGGTTAAGACGTGCTTAAGCACGTTGACTTACTTTTGTCAATGGAATATTTAATAGAATATATATTTTAAGTCAAACAAATTCGAATGTGATTCTAGTCAACGTTAAATGATCTTTCAGTTTTTAGAGCATACAAATTATCATTCTTGTTGCTTTTCCCTTACTATGATTTTTGGTGTTATGATAACAAAGTGCCTTTTTTAGTATTATTCTCATTATTTTTGTTAAATCTCAATAACTTGGTGATGTGTAAAAACCCGTTGAAAATTCTAATTTTCCTTCTAGTAATTTTGGTGAAGTTAAAAAGCCATAACTACAATAGTAAATCAGTCAAAATTTTACTATACGAAAGGTGGTTAACTACAGAAGATTTCACTCATTTAATTGACGCTAGGCTACACTCTTAGGTGCAAGATTCCTAAATAACCTTTTATAAATCAACAAAAGAAGATATGGCAAAACATTATACCCATCACCAATGGATTACCAACTGAAATATAAAAGGACAACTTGGTGTACAAGGCATCCAGTAGGGTCCGAAAAAGGACTGCACCCAAGGGATTGTGAGGTAGATAGCCTACCCTAATGCAAGCATTAGTTGATGCTTCCACATTTCGAACCCGTGATCTAAGTCACACGAAGACAACTTCATTGTTGCTCCAAGGCTCCCCTTTTATCAACTGAAATATCACCACAGATATTCACGAGGTCTAATCATTAGAAAATTAATTTTTCAGCCCTACAATTCAAGGATGAAAAAGCTATTGATACGACCAACCATTACCGACCCATCATAGGTTTTGGTTTCCAATCAGCAGTAAACTTTTTCCTTTTTAATGAGAAATGAAATAGGCTAAGAAGTTCGTACTTTGCAGCTTTACATCTGAATTCAGCTCATATTTACCATACTTCAAAACTATTCTGGACCATCTTCATGGAGTTTCTAATGCTTTTGACCCCTAAAGATACAGGAAGGAGATGAATTTTTACTGCATACTAGAATTAGCTTCACATAAGAAAGACCTCCTTTTACTGCACAGGCATCTCCTTTTGATTAGCACCTGTAGGAGATAAATCAATGAAAAAGTGGCACATCTTTGTATCAACATCATCCATTTTCCCAAGCAATTTAGAAGCCGTCAAGGTTAAACAGATCAAGTTCAGCAGGTAAAGATTCCTGCTGTTGGTTGGGTTTACCTTCATCCGCGGGAGGAGATTTAACTTGCTGGGCTGGTTCAGGCAAATCATCATCCTTTATGGCCTGAAACTTTGGCTCTTCCTCGACCTCCTCGGCCTCTTCCTCGACTTCTTTGAGACGTGCTGGTGGTTCAAGCCGCTGATACTTGGGCTTATTTTTCTCCAAGAGAAGGTAAGTTGTGTAATACCAAAACATTAGTATTCTACTTTGAGCAATAATTGTATCACTTATTCGACTGCCCCCAAATGATAGCCGCTCGAGTGCCTGTAGAAGTGAAATTCAAGATGTTTGAATATAACAATTAATTCACTATCACATTCTATTAGTAGTCACTCAACATCACTCTTATACACAGATCAAATACTTTTCTTCCACATTGAGGATCTCATTCTTGGGAATTTTCCATCAGTAAGCTTAATATGAGGGGAGGGGAAGGGAGGATATGGGTTCAATCTTGAAGTTCAACACTGAATGATATCTTTCTTACGATGGAATCAACTCCTGGAGATCCAAAAGGTAGCAATAGTCCACTTTTTTCAGCAACAAAAAAATTTGCTGCTATGTTAGTGTTACTACAGATTTCTGTTGTGTGTTGACTTCAACTTTCCAGGTTACAGTTATCTCTGTTTGCGATCACCCACTTCTTGGTTTTGACTTGGTCTAAAATGATACCTCTAAAACTGAAAGAAGCTAGTTTAGGTTTTAGAAGTTCGCTAGGTGTTGAGCAGACACATGACCTCACTGAAGAAGAACAAAAGAAGCATAACAGCCAAACAAATACGTCAGCAAATAAAGATTAAAAATGGAACAACAAAACCATGAAAAGGTAAATAAAAATGAAAAAGAAAACAGAGGAGAAAACAATAGTTATAGTACTGCTACAAGATATCACAAAGATATGCTGTCTATCATGTCAACTTAGTGTTTGTGCTTATCAGTCACAGATTGGTCTTTTTAACCAGGTTTCATCACATGGTCATGCTAATATGAGGACTTAAAAGGTTCACCAGCCATCTGGAGCTGGTGTTAGTTGACTAAGTTCTCTCTGCACTTATATTTCAGAACTTCAATTGCACAGAGTTAAAAGACCCAACATGATGTTCTGGGTGGAATAGAGAAAATTTTGCTTTCTAAAAGGAAGTTTTAGTTCAATGATCTGAAAATTTAATGGCCTATATATGAAGATTTCAGCAGAAAGATATTAATGCAATTCAGGAGAATTCTATTAAGTAAAATAAAGAGTTCTATGTCTTCACTCACCTGTTCACCAGATTGTATGTCGAATGATTTTTTATGCTCAAATTGAAGTCCACTAAATTCATTGATGCAAAGCCCCTGAAACGCCCTGAAATTAACAAGAAATTCTCAAGTGTTAAAAGTCCGTGGATAGGAAAGAATAGTAAAGTCAAGGAATTGCCAAGTACTTTGGCATATGAAGGGATATTAGTACCATCTTATAAGAGAAACTCGAGGAATCCACCGAAAAATAATTGGTGTGTTTTCTGAATTGACGTAGGACCCCCCAAAGACAATAAAAACTGTCATAAGAGAGGGGCCCAATGCTAATGCAGCTTCAGTTGTTGGAACCATGGCTCCTACAGTCAAACCCATAGCAGATGCAGCAAAAGACTCCATAGTTACAATTCCGCAGAACTTCCCAAATCTATAAACCAAAAGCAGCACTCATTATAGTGTGTGTTTCTATGCTCTTCTGCAACCAAATGCTTGCATTTAATAATTGAAATACCAATA